AACGCTTTAAAAGTGGTCGTGAGGCTGTTGAGGACGATGCTCGTCCTGGGAGGCCATCGACATCGAAAACTGATGAAAACGTCGATGAAATCCGGCAATTGTTGATCAAAAATCGCAAATTGACGATAAGGGAGATAGCTGAGACCACCAACATATCATTCGGATCCGTACGCGAAGCTATCCGCAAAAAAAGACCTGCTTTGTGGGGCAACAACTCGTGGATTCTCCATGACGATAATGCGCCATCTCATAATGCGTTGATTATTCGTGAGTTTCTCGTCAAAAACAAACACCAACACTATTCAACAACCGCCCAATTCACCTGATCTGGCACCATGTGACTTCTTCCTATTCGATCGACTCAAAAAACCACTACAAGGAACTCGTTTTGAGAGTGTGGAGGCAATAAAGCTAAAATCGCTGGAGGCACTAATGGCTATACCAAAAACCGACTTCCAGAAAAGCTTCGAAGAGTGGATCAAACGCTGGCACAAGTGCATCGCAGCCGACGGGGACTACTTTGAAGGGGACAACTTGAATTTTGAAGAATAAACATGTACTTTTCTTTTTATGAATAAATTCCGGTTATTTTTTGATCATGGTAGTATTCCTCCACTAATAGTACGCGCAAACACTAATCAACAAAAAGTAAAATAAACTGCGCTTATCAAATAAATTTTACCAAATCCGACAACATTGGATCGTTGTTAGGTTTTTCATCAACTCGTATTTTAGAGCCGCTACAATGGTACGTATCAAACGTGCCGATTACTAGTATCAACGTAAACATTATTCGCGTAGAGTGCAACGTGACTGCGGGTGCGTACAGCAACAACCGGTATGTGCATACGATACATGAGTTCTCACCGAACGTGCCACCTGGATATAAGATCTCGGAAACACCGGCACAGATCATTTATCTTCCGATCATCGTACAGAGCATTACGGATCTGACGATACGCATTGTGGATCAGAACGGACAATTGCTTGATTTTCGAGGAGAAGAAATAACTGTCAGATTACACGTACGACGTCGACGGCTGTAATACGCGGCATGCTCGTGCTGAACGAGGCGAATCAAGTAACGCGAGATACAAGGTTTTCATTATAAACACCTGCTACTACTACTACGACGTACAGTAATCGGAAGAAGCTAAGTTCGATAAACGTTGAATTTTTACAATTGTTGGGATTTATTGTACGAAAATTTTGAAAATATGTGCGACATTTTAAACGTTGGAGGTGAGCCGATCTTTGAAGATCGCATCGTTAAGACTGAAACTCACACGTACAATCCGTACGTGAACACAACATTGGGACACAGTGATGAGATACGCATACCTATACAACAGCAGGACTTGTACATTTTACCGTGTCAAAGTTTTCTTTACGTCGAAGGAAAAATGACGTTAACGACGAAAGACGAAGAAGAAGTATTTCTGGGTAATAATTGTGTGGCTTTTATGTTCGATGAGATTTGCTATGAACTCAGTGGTAGAGAGATTGATCGTAATAGGAACGTTGGAATAACCAGTACAATCAAAAACTATGTATCGCTAACACATGATAAAAGCATGGCTATGAAGAATGCTGGATGGGATATTACACAACATACGGACGTAAATAGTTACTTTAGTTTCTGCGTGCCTCTCAGCATGGTATTAGGATTTTGCGAGGACTACAAGCGTACGATTATCAATGCACGTCATGAACTAACTTTAATACGATCGTGCAACGACAAAAACTGCATAACAGCAGTTTCTTAGGTAGATGGTGAAGCATTAGATGGAAAAATTGAATTATTTAAAATACAATGGCGAATGCCACATGTAGTATTGAACGATGTCACGAAGCTCTCGCTGCTACAAACTCTGGAAAGCGGACGGTATTTGACCATGAGTTTCCGCTCGTAGGATCTCTATGAGTTTCCATTATTACAAAGCACGACTAAACACTCGTGGGCCGTAAAAACGGCGACACAACTTGAGAAACCGAGATACGTCATATTTGCGCTACAGACTGGTCGAAGAAACGATATGTCAGCAGATGTCACGCGATTCGATCACTGTCAGTTGACCAACGTAAAACTTTATTTCAATTCTGAATTCTATCCTTATGACGACTTGCATTTAGATTTCGATAGAAAAAAATATGCCGTTCTGTACCATATGTACATACATTTCCGTATAGCGTATTACGGATGTGGTGTTGTCGTACCGTTTCTCACGATTTCCAACTTTCTGCAATTTGGTTCTTTAGTGGTCATTAATTGTTCGCGTCAAAACGAGGCGGTCAAAAGTGCAACTGTCGATGTGCGAATTGAAGTCGATTGCAAAGAAAATATACCAGCAAATACTACAGCCTATTGTCTCATTTTGCACAATCGTGTTATTGAATACAATCCGTTAACCAACGTAGTGCGCAAAATTACATAAACTGCAACATCAGCGCTTCTCCTCTCTATAATCTGAAAATCGTTTAAGAGCGAAAGTCCTTTACGATAGATAGCATTTGTCTTTTGTTGGTCACACGATTACGTCAACATGGTTGTGCCGACGTTTGTAGACCTGCAAGGATTTGTAGTCGGAAAAAGATTTTTTGTCAAGGAAGTAACGGTATTGCGAAAGAGCACTGTTCTCTTGCATTACATTTTTGGAAGTCCTTTCCCGTGGAGTCTACTCGCAAGATTAGACAGATCAGCAGCTTTTTGGCTGATGATGTAACATCATGGTCTGCGTTGGAAGGATGGAAGTGTTGCATACCGCAGAACAAAGAATTTGATTACAACAGCTATTTGCGGCACCGCAGAAAATGATGACGACGCGTCTTCACTCGTCTATGTTAAAGGTCCCGAAAAATGTAACTGGCTAGCTGATATTCTTGATANTGACGTACGACATGGATTAATTATTAAAACATTGGATGCCGATTACGACGATATTGCTTCTTTAAATAAACTGAATGTATTGAATTGTCTACGATGTGAAAAACATGTAAAACATTGTGCATTACAAAATGTATTTANAATATTTAATTGGTGGTCTAAACGACAATAAACTGTTATACAAAACAACTTTACTACCCTTCTCCTCCATAGCATATGTTTATATAAATTAACGCGGTTTAACATGGTTTCATAGCTGAACGTGGTTTGTTTATGGTTCGATTATAGTTGAACGTGGTTCAATTATGGTTGAACGTGGTTTGTTTATGGTTCGATTATGGTTGAACATAGTTTTCGGGCGACTTTCCTCCACCTTGCCGTGGTGCCCGAGCTTAGGGGAGCAAAGATCCGGAGGGCTATGCCAGCGGAGACTTCGTTACAGAGTCCCTGGTAGGGTCATCCATACTGGACAGGTCTTTGGGGAGCTCCTGAACTAAGAGGGGAAATAAGGGAAGGTAAACCCCGACAGAAAACCCGGGCAGGTCGGGCCCGCAGCCTGGTTACTGTAACCGACCTAGGTAAAGGACACACCGAAATAAAACCAGCATTATTATTCTCACGATAATGGCAAATAAGGAAGTGAAGGTCGTACTGGAACAGATCGTTCGGACGGTCAGTTTCCGGCACTTGGGTGGTATTGTCCCGGCCACACTTGGGTCGTCATCCAACGACGGGCCTTGCGTCGCCTGCCCCGCAGGGGCGGCGCATGAAGATGCGTCTGCGACGCAACTTGGTGCGTATGCATAGATGCCAGATCGTGCAGGACAGCAACGAGAGCAGCAAGGGGCAGAGCCCCCACCGCTCAGCTTCTCGATGCTACACACACAAGCGAGAACCGCGTACGTGTGCGTGACGTCACGCTCGGTTATATGTATAACTTATTATACATATAATAAGTTCAATTACATATTATGTATATAGTTTTGTTAACAAATATATACATATATATACACAAATATACATATGTATATATACAATATATATATACAAACAAATATGACGTGAAGATATAAATTTTTTTACGTACTGGCAATGAATATCGAAACGCAGCTTCGTAATCTTGTAAAAAGACATGATATTATTGATACAAATAAACCATCTCAATATATACATTACATATTTTTTTTGTATAAATTATTACTATGATATTTAACAGTAAGAAAAAGATTTTAGAATATTAACAGAGGAATAAATAAAGAAACATACAAATATATATATATATATATACATATATAGTATATTAATATTTGTTTGTATATATATATTGTATATATACATATGTATATTTGTGTATATATTTGTTAACAAAACTATATACATAATATGTAATTGAACTTATTATATGTATAATAAGTTATACATATAACCGAGCGTGACGTCACGCACACGTACGCGGTTCTCGCTTGTGTACGTAGCATCGAGAAGCTGAGCGGTGGGGGCTCTGCCCCTCGCTGCTCTCGTTGCTGTCCTGCACGATCTGGCATCTATGTGCGTATGCACCTTTGAGAGACGGGAGCGTCTCTCCCTGCTTGAGCCCAATGGACCCTAAGAAGCAGAGACGCCCGAGAAGTCGGAGACTGCCAGTCTCCGGCTCGAGGGTAGAGGATGAAGGGGCTGAGTGCGAAAATCGCCGTCTTCTCGCACTCTCGCAGCTCACCCCTCTCCCCCACAACGACGCCTCCGATTCGGAGGTGGAGTTAGTCGCCGGTACTCGGGACGAAGCCCCACCTCGCGAGTCGCACGAGAAAGAGGGGGTCCCTCCGGCCTCCCAGCCTCTTGGGTCATCCGAGAGGTCTAATAGTGTGGGAGTCCGGAGGCGCGGGAGGAGAGACCCCCCACGACGGGAGAATACGCTGGCCTGGCAGAGGCCAAAAGGAAGTGTGTGGAGCAACTCCGGCGTGAGATGGAGTTGCGCACCGAAAAGGAGCTGGCTGAGGAGATCGACGCTATGCGCGTCTCCACTCATTCGGCCGGTCCTCGACAGCCCCTCCCTTCGAGCCAGGCGGAGGGGGCCCCGCCACCGCGTTCAATGATCACCAGGGACATGTCCACGTCCCAGGTGGTCGGACAGGCCGCGAAAATGGCGGAGGCCGTCCGGAAATTGGCGACAAAGTTGAAGAACCTTAAAGGTACCTTCGTCCGCCAATTCAAGAAGGCGGCGACCGGCCTAGAGAAGGCCGTATCCATAGTGGCAGGCTGGCTGGACCTCTCGAGGAAGGCTCAGCCCCTCGACGCGCTCAACACGTCCTTGAGCGCGGAGGTCAGCCGGCTGCGCGACAACGCTGCCTCCTTGGAGAGAGAGAAGGGCGCCGTCCAGGCCAAAATGGACAACGTCCTTCGGGAGAACGGTCGCCTGCAGGGCGAAGTTGACGCCCTGCACGGCGAACTCCGCGACTTGAGGCGAAATCTCATGTCTTTAAGGAAGGAGCGGTTAAAGGAGGCGGGAAGCCCTAAGAAACGGCCTTCCGGCCGCCAGTCCCCGCCTCCCCCCGCTCCATCCCCGCGGGTGGTTACCCCGCCACCTGGACCTTCCGTGCCGCCGGAGCCGGAGGGCCCCTGGGCGACTCCTCTTTCCCCGGTGGGAGAAAGACAAAGCCCTTTGCAGGGGGAGCACTCGGTATCGCCTGTGGCGTCCCGGGCGCCCACTCCTCCGCCCAGGAGGGCACCGCCAAGCCCCAAGTCCCTCAGGGAGGTGGAGGGCCGCATCATGGACGCGATGCGCTCCCAATTGTCCATCTTTTGGGAGCAAATGTCCCAGCGGCTCTCTCGCCGTCCCTGGGGGCAGGAGGAGGGGAAGCCTCACCTCCCCCTCCCCTGGGCAAGAAAACAGCGCCCAGCGGCGCAACCGCGAAGGGCGGCGCCGGCACTCCGGCCATAGCCGGCCCTTCGCGTGAGGCCACTCTTCCTTCTTCTTCCCCTGTAAAAGGGAAGAAGAAGAAGAAAAATAAGAAGAAGACGAAGGGCAAAGGGGGAGACACGCAGGCCCAGCCGGCGGTGCCACCACAGGCCGCCCGCTGCGTGGACCCGGCCACACCAAGCCAATCCACGACGGGGGTTTCTGCGGCCGAGCTTGGGACCTCTTGGTCTCAGGTGGTCGGCCGCAAACAAAAGAGGAAGGAGACGCAAGTTGCAGCCTCCCCCTTGTTGGATGTCGAGGAAGGTCGGGTGGTAAAGATGAAGTTTTAGTCGTGAACTTGTATTCTTATCTTTATTGCTCCGATTACAACGTAACGTCCTTTTGTTCCTTACACGGCTGTTCCTCACTGTGGTAAACTCTCCGGCTTGTGGAGCCACACAGTGAGCTAGCAGTCTAATCACGGTCTCTGCCCTGCTTCATCCACGCTATCGATTTATAGTAGATCGATCGCGCTGATTCAGCAGGCCCACCGGTCCTAGCAACGGCCGTGCTAGTTACCGGTGCCGGTGTCGACACATGCTGCGTTGCATTTCAGACAATGCGGCGATGTGTCGCACCCTGTGGCAACCAGCAGTTCTTCCTAGAACTGCTGCCTTCCTGCAACCTAACTAGGTCATTGAGCAATGACAGTGATGTCTCATCACATTGCTTAATGGCCTCATCTTATTTAACTTTTAACACAAAAATTGGCGCACAACAGTTGTATATGTATTTAAAAATATAACAAAATAATGATACTAACAAATAATATCTGTATGTGTATGAAAAGATAAGAAGAATGACACAAACACTTATTCTATATGATTTTGAAGCAGTTACGCTAGATTTTATTTTATAGGGTTGCGCTCAAAAATGTTCTTCTATCAAAGATATATTTATAGTTCTGACAAGAAGTGTTTAATGGTAATACTGGACTAATACGTAACAGCCAGCTTATTTTGTTTGACAACATGTTGCAATCTAATATCAATTAAGCCGTTTGTTGAAAAATGTTGAATATTGCTTTGAAGTTTTTCATACTTAAAAGTATATTATATAATCTTCTGGAAAACAGAGTATGTATTAAAATTGAAGCTGTCGCAAAGCCATGAAAATCGCGACAGGCGCGGCGCGAGATCAGAAAGTGCGGCGCGCTTTGATCTCGCGCCACGAATGCCGCAAAGAAAAATGATTACCGATAAAGATAAAAAATCGGTCAATACTAGACTGCAATAAGTTGTCGACCAAAACGGTTATTGAGCCGACTATTAAGTCAAAGGTGTTAGAAACGGTTATTTTCAGAACCACACATTTATTTAACAACAAGAATATCTCTCACGTTTATCGGAACTACGCTTAACGGCTCTTTTCAGAGCCACAAAAAATATTTTACAGAGTCACATTAAACGGTTCTTGTCAGAACCATAAATATATCTTTGACAGAAGAACATTTTTGAGCGCAACTCTATAAAATAAAATCTAGCGTAACTGCTTCAAAATCATATAGAATAAGTGTTTGTGTCATTCTTCTTATCTTTTCATACACATACAGATATTATTTGTTAGTATCATTATTTTGTTATATTTTTAAATACATATACAACTATGTATGTATATATTTATATATAAACATAACTATTATAATATTGCCTTACTAGCTTTTATTTTTGATGTTTTAAAGAAAATTTAACGCTAATTATACAAATCTAGTATAGTGTTTTATTTTTTATTCTTAATATTTAAATAATGTTTAAAAATATTTTAATGATCACTNTGACATTTATCTATTGTCATGATTTTTTACTCTCTTACTTAAATATATTTTACTTTCTTACACTTACCGTAAGTAAGTTTCTTATATCACGTAATAATTAAATAAATAAATATTTGATATAAATTATTGAAGTCACTTTTAATGCAGAGTTACTCTTTTCAATGTTCACGATAGTTTTATGATAATATATGCCTGTCGGTATTATTGGTAACCGCGTCGGTATGTATCATCGGTAACCGTGCCGATATATGGACTAAATCTCGGGCCGTTGGCGCGTGATAGTAGGAGATGGCCGGAGGAGAACTACTTCTCCTCACGGCGCACGATATGGTGCTCCGCACTGTACACAGCGCGTCATTGAATCGCGGAATAGGCGCGGGATCGGAGGGCAAGCAGGGCGGTTGCTCGCCAACAAGCGCCGTACGAATCGTACAGCCCGCTTGCCCTCCGATCCCCGCACCTATTCCGCGATTCAGTGACGCGCTGTGTACCATACGATCGCCAAAAATCGCCTATTATAGTTCAGTGGTTCCGACTGTGAATACTGGCTTTAGAGTCGATGTTTTTTGAATTGACAAGTGCGTCGAATGGCGTATGCGTCCTCCTGCTTCTCAAGAATGACTAAGCAAATTTATAAAGAAATCGCGAGAGACGGGAGGATTCAAGCGTTTTCTGAACTATTTTATCTTTGATCGTGAAAAATTACAATTAGAATGACTATGGATGGGAAAAGATCAATTAAAATGGTACGTTGTACCTATAGCTTATTTGTGTAATGAACATCAACCACAACAAATATGTCCTCTTTTCTAACTTGTGTAAACAGTACGTACTAACAAATGTCTTAATCGACAAAAAAATCATAAAAAATTTGTATTGGATTATTACTAATATTATTATCCTACTTATACATATATATATATATATACTTATATACATATATATACTTATACATATATATGTGCATAAGTTGGTAGCATATCTTTCCATTAAACATTGCGATACAGTATCTATTGAGTACTATAATTTTGTATGTCTTTATAGGATCCATTATCACCTGGACCTTGTATTGACATTAGTGATGATGAACTTGTTACGATATCAGTACGAGATTTGAATCGGCGATTAAAACTACAAGGGTTGTCCAGAGAAGAAATTGTACGTATGAAACAGAGAAGACGCACACTAAAGAACAGAGGCTATGCAGCTAGTTGCCGCATAAAACGTATTGAACAAAAAGATGAATTAGAATCTGAAAAGACTCAGGAATATCAAGACATGGAAGCTATGCAAGAAGACAACAATTGTATGAGAGCAGAGATAGAGTCCTGGCATTCAAAATATCAAGCTCTTAAAAAATTTGCTCAAGAAAAAAAAATTATTATTCCACCGGAATTGGAAGCTATCTAAAATACTAATATTTACACATTCACTAGAGCATACTAACAGAAAATTTAACTTAATAATATAACTTGAAAAGGCTTACAATATGCTATATTGTATTCAATGCTCTTAATCTATAAGCATTTATAGAAACGTTTTGAAACTCAAGAAAATACGTAAATGCAACGATAAATACAAACAAACACATACACATGTGCACGCGCGCCCGCGTGTATAACAAATAGTATTTATACAATTATGTTATTATATATATATATATATATATATATATATATATAAGGGAGATTCGTACAGACAGTGATTCAAAACAACCTTTTATCCTTGAAAATACATATTCTTGACTAGATAGATAGATAAGAATGAGCGGGGGGCTATCAATACCCTTAGTGTCACCTAGATCTCATGATCCTCTGCGACTCCCGCTGGTTATTTAACGACCATACTGATTTAGCCCGGCATTTGCTGCCAGGCTGCACAGATGGCCGATCTTGAATCTTTTCAGGTTCTCAGGCTCCACAAACATGGAGCCTAAGAATCTGAACCTCTTGAGTACTAGTGAAGGGCAGCGGCACAGTATGTGCACGCTGTCCTCTTTTTCCTCCTTGCAAAATCTGCAACTACTCTCCTCAACTAGGCCTAGGTTGTATAAATGTGCCTTAAAGGCCCAATGCCCTGTGAGTAGACCGATACTCAATCTTTGTATTCTTGACTAAATTCTGAGAACTTTTTATTTGACAAAATTTTGTCTGAAGTTACTTTTTCAATTATTAATAAAAATAGGTGACTTACCATGAGTCGAATACAAAAGGAAGAAAGGGGTGGCGTAACTCTTGAAAAATTTGCCAAATAAAAAGTTGTCTCAGAATTTAGTCAAGAATATGTATTTTCAAGGACAAAAAATTGTTCTGAATCACTCTGTATATATAATCATTAGTATTATATATATGATTAGCTTAGAATATATGAGAAGCAACATACAGATAAATAATAAATAAAATAGAATAATATAACAAACGCCTGTGACTGAAGTAAAAGTTATTTCATATTTAATTCTATATATTGTTTATTATATTATTTTCAGAACATAACAAAAGTATCAATCTGCTAACTACATGAATATTTATTGAATTTCCCAACAATCTATATTTTTGTTTGTCTGTTATATGTTGTGGAAATTTAAAATCTTCAGGAAAACACATTAATCTGCACACCTCTTTGGGTGAAAAAAATCTAAGTTTTAATTTTGACAAGAGTTGCAGTTGTTCATCTGGATTATTTTTGCAACTATCAACTTTGCTATATTTTTGTTTAATTATTTCATCTGTAAATGGACAATAAACAGATCCAGTACCTTCCAAGTAATGACCATATCCTTTTGTGAAACAACAAGAACCATTGCTGTCTGATGTTCTTATGTCTAATACCCAAGCTCTTTTTTGTAACAAATGTGGAGGAATCAAATACTTGGATTCGTCACCATCTTCCAAAATATTTTTCAGTGTATAACACATCTTGCCAAATTTGGTGTTATATTTACCTTCTTTCTCTGCTAGTTCAGAATGTACACTGTTTGGTAACAACTTTGATTGCAAAATATTTTCAAGTGAAGACTGTTCAAAGCAGAAATGTAAGTTGTCTTTTTTTGCTAATAAATAATATCTGAGTCTGCTGTTTGGTATTCCAAAGTCATACGGGCTCAACATTAACTCTCTGTACACATAGCCACAGCTTTTTAAACAATCTACCAACCTATCTCTCATTTGAGATACTTCAAAACCTTTAACATTTTCAAGCAAAAGATACTTGACAGTGTTTAATTTTGGTAATAAGTTCAAAAAGTGCAAAAGTGAGCAAGATCTAGCGTCCTTATCATCTTTCTTTAGTCCACCACGTGTGTAAGGTTGGCACGGAGGACTCATTAAAATCACATCTATATTTAGTTTTTTAAATTCCTGTGCAGTGACAGACTGAATGTTTCTGTTCATAAGAAGAGTTTTTGGAAAATTATATCGGTAGACATCATTAGCAACTTGATTAATATCCACTGAAGCCACAATTTCTGCTTGTAGTTGGCTTTCTAAAAACAAATTGGAAAAAGTTTTGAAAGTAGTAAAAAACAAAAGAATACTAAGGTTAAGAATATACATAATTTAGTTCAGTCCACAAAATAATGTAATTTTGACAAACAAAAATTTAACTTTTTACCACGGAGCGCAAAATGCATTCCTCCAATGCCACTGTACAATTCTAATACGTTCATTATCGGCAATTTGATGCGATATTTAAGAAAAAAAGCTACAACAATGAAACATCATTACGTCATATCGCGAATAGCAATCGCGCCATCGAGACACACCTACAAACACGTACTTATCTGTCTTCTGTTACAGAACTGAAAATTTGACATATTTTTACTGCAAAACTGTTAAATCAAGTTGAATATAGAAGAACATAGACGACTTCTACTTTTTGAACTACTTTTATGAAGATGATTTGATCGCAATAACATCCTCGAGACGAATGTCATCTACCTAACCTAATCATCGATTCGCACAGTCCAATCAATGTTGTATTCTTAAAGGCATTGTAAAGGAAAAGCAAGAAAAATTTTAATGGAACGCGAATGTGAGCAAAACCTTTCATCCAGAAGATAGTTGATGAAGATGTTTCGAAGTAGGAGCTGGTTCGGGGGTGGACTTTGGAAACCAAAGAATTTACATTCCCCTGAGCATCTCAAGTAAGATGACAAACTGACAGTCATAGAACTGTTGAGATTTTGCACTTGCTAATAGTATGCACATAAGTTTTCAATAATTTACTTCGAGAGAGGAAAGCTGCTGCTGATCAGCTAACTATTAGTTTCAGCAGTAGGATAATGCAGTATCTACCCTATCCTATCCTCTATCCTATCTACCTATTTATCTACATATCAGTGGAGGCAAATTATTGAAAGACTTCATATTTTTATTAATACATATATCATTTTTATAGATACCTTTACAATGTTTTATCTAAGAACCAAACTGTATCCGAGAGTAACAGAGGTTTATTGGTTGAGACTCTTCGCTCAATAGCTGAAATTCTTATTTGGGGCGATCAAAATGACTCGAGTGTATTTGAGTATGATATCTTTCTCTTTTATTCCTTAGCTTTCACTTGTCTAAAGTAACAAAAGAATAACAAGTACAGCATACTGTCTTATGTTGTTAAAAATTCTTTATTATAATTTACGGAATAAACAATTTAGAGTAAAAATAAAAACACTGTGTACACATACATAATATAAAAAGTACAATATTGTTTTCAGCTTCTTTTTAGAAAAAAATATGCTTTCATTCTTTTTACGTATTATGAAACAAAAGTGTGGAAGCTATGTTTGTGTACAATTACTTCAAACGCTAAATATTTTATTTGAGAATATACGCAATGAAACATCTTTATGTAAGTAGAGAATAAAATCATATCTCTTGTATCTATTCTCATTAAAGCAACTTGAATGATTAATTCATTAAGAATTCTTGATTTTTTCACACAGATTATTTATTGAGTAATAATCACGTGAACAGTATAATAGTGCATAAATTTGACTTTAGCGACGAAGAGGTGATGGCATATTATATCAGTTTTTTGAAGACATTGAGTCTGAAACTAAATGCACATACCATTCATTTTTTTTACAATGAGGTAAGCATGTTATAACAATCTGTTATTCGTTTTATTTAATGAGTTTACCCTGTTTGACGCTAATAACGTCTGCCTAGAATATTATCATTTCTCTTATTAATGTATTAGAATTGCTCATTATATGTTTTTATTATTACTAAGCTATTATTGACTTTATACTTTTGCAACAATGCTTGTTTACATAAAATGTTGTCACTGTTTGATGTAATTGCGTATTATATATTTGTCCATTGCTTATTAATTACATTTGTAGATTACTTTGTAACAGTACTCTTATTGTATAATTTCTTTCTAATTGTAGTTAAACAAATTCAAACTTTAAAACTTGATCCACAAAAATATGATGAATTATATATGTATATGTATAATTAAATTGTAATTATATCGAAGTTATATAAAATTCTGTTTTGCCAGGTGATAAAAGTAAAAATTTTTTCTTTTACCAGCACACCAATGATTTTCCACTATATACAGAAGCAATTAAATTCTTCAATCATTCAGAAGGTATGGTACGCATAGCTGTGAGAACTTTGACACTGAATGTATATCGTGTGGAAGATGGATCTATGCTAGCTTTTATAAGGGATCGCACAGCTGCACCATATTTCAGTAATCTAGTATGGTTTATTGGTGATCACATTATAGAATTAGACACTTGTGTCCGAAACGATGCTGAGTATGTATTGACAATTTGTTTCACCAAGATATGTATATACATACGTAAAATATTTTTCTTTTTCTTTATTATCAAGGAAATGTACTTTTTTTCAGTCATCAGAGTCAAAACAGATTGTCAGATTTAGTTGCAGAACATTTAGATCATTTACATTACCTAAATGATATCTTGTGCTTGAATATATCGGACTTGAATAAAGTTTTGTCAGAGCATTTATTACATAAACTACTAGTGCCGCTTTATGTGTATTCTCTGATAAAAGATAAAAATGTTTTGTGCCAAACTCAGGTAAAAGTATTAGTAATATTTTTGGTTTTCCATTTTTTTTATAATACTAACAAATAAATGGGCTTTTAGGATGAGAGAAAACACGTCAGTGTCGTAGTGGCACTTTTTCTACTTTCTCAAGTATTTTTGATAGTATCGCATGGACCTCTTGTACATACTTTGGCAGCTGTAATACTCATGTCCGACTTGGAAACAATTAAAACTGGAACAAATAGAGTTTTGGAAAAATTCGGGGATATAATGTCTAATAAATTTGTTTCTTTCTCACCACAGAAAGAAACATTGGAAGAATCAACAGAAACTGTAAGCGAAACGGTATCAACGAAATTTGCGTCCAAAGAAATTCGCAACCAAAATAACGATGAAAAAGACGTAAAAAACATACCTGAAGACGCGGTCAATGAATCGCAAGATTTTAATCATCCTAGTACGTCGTTTGATAGCGCTTCTACAGTAAATACACCTATTCATGAGAGTCATACGCCACAAGATTTGGACACAAACATTTCAAGCGAAGACGATCTAGAGGAAATTAAGCACTTGAATGTGACGGATGAGGAAAAAGAACAACGTTTAGCATTGGAGAGTCCTTTGATTCCTAATCTAAGTCAGAACGACATATTTGAATCTCTAGCAAAAAAACCATTTCTCGAAACGATTATTAATTCTTTATTATGTGCGGAGAATGATTACGCTGCGCTATTTGCGCTCTGTTTATTATATGCATTAGCTAATAACCAGGTAACTAATAAATTCTGAAAAATCTAGATTTTTATTTGAAATATTTTATATGTTTGTTAATAATGAGTTAATGTAATTATTTTGCAAGGGTATAAGTCGGAAAACTTTAAATGTAATTCTGTCACCAATCTATGAAAATACATCGGCGAAGAATTCGTATAACGAATTGCTAATAGATAGGTTGATTCATATTATAACTTTGAGCTGTCAAACAAGTAAGTTTCATTAAATATTCAATAAACTTTAATATTTATAAAGCTTCTATTAATTTTACAAGAATATCAATTTTCTGACAGATGCCAAAGTAAGGCTTGTCACCTTGGAATTAGCCATTAAATTGCTTACGCAACTGACAGTATTTGAAGGACAATGTTCATTGCGAGAATCGCACCTGACAGTCATTGAAGCGGCAAAAGAACAAAGCACGTCTCTACTCAAAAACTTCTACAAGGTGTGAAAATGGAACAAGTAGTTACCTAAAATGCAAATGCTCTTTGTTTCTTGTCTCGTTGCTATTTTGATAAGAACTATTGATTCTCCATTTCTCAGAGCGAAGATATTTTTTTGGACATGTTTGAAGATGAATATAGTGAAATACAAAAACGACCGTTAAATGTCGAATGGCTGATGATGGACAGTAATATTTTACTGCCTCCTACAGGCACGCCTATGACCGGAATCGAATTTAGCAAGAGATTGCCATGTGGCGAGGCAAGTGTCGAAACGAAAAGACGTGTTTTCAAATAAATTGCACCTACAAAAACTACAAAGATTATTGCAGTTTGGTGTAAAAAAAAAAAAAAAAAAACTGAAATTATTTTTACAGGTGGAAAGAGCACGACGTGCGATAAGAGTTTTCTTTTTGATAAGAGAACTATCTCTGACACTTAATATGGAAGTAGAAACTCAGTTACCATTGACCAATCCGGCTAATTGCGTACAAATTAACAACGTTCTTGATCTAAGTAAAAGTTATAGTTGTCTCATGTTATCTAGTCAATTTTCTGAAAAATTAAAACGAATGAATGAAATAGAAGTTCATATTAGAGAGAAAGAGAGAGAGAGTTCATATTATTCGGTAGATAATAGCTCTATGAGCTATTACAGTCGAACTTCACTAACTCGAATCTCAAGGGAAGAGCTAAAATCTTCGAGTTGTAGAGATTTCGACTTATCGAAGCTTTTTTTCCTTTCCGCGGAGCGGAAGGGAATGAACAAAATTTGTCTTATAGAGGTTTTCGAGTTATCGAGGTTTGACTGTATCTAAACCGAAGTGAAATTGCGAACAAAATATCCGTAACTATGTGTGCCTGTCTTGATGTTTTAGATTTGAATTAATTACGTTTATCAATCAAAAAATAATTTACGCAAATAACAGCTTTATTTAATATACTGTTTCATTTATTCTAATCTTTAGTGCTAACGCTTGCATGTATTGCTTCATTACAAAAGAAAAAATTAAATTACAAAAAAAAATTGCAATCAATAAGTTTACTGATTAACTAATTCTTTTATAATTTTTTTTTTATAGATAATAGTGACTTGATTGCGTGCACTGTAGTATGGAAAGACGGTCAGAAAATTCGTCGTTTTTTAGTCATTGATGTGGTGCAATTGATTCTTGTGGAACCTGATATAAGAAAACTTGGGTGGGGAGTTGCCAAATTAGTTGGATTTCTACAAGACATCGATGTGACTGGAGACAAAGATGATTCGAGATGTTTACATCTGACAATATATAAGCCATTAAGCAGCAGTACGGGCAATCGTATACCATTATTGTCGGCTAAATTTATTTTTGACGATCACATCCGATGTATGGCCGCAAAACAAAGGTAAACAGTTTTTTTGAACAGCAAATTACGCAACACCATTATTCATTGAGTGTCACGTAAACCTATTGAAAAATTTAGGCTAACAAAAGGACGAATAAAAGCGCGACAAAAAAAGATGAATCAAATTGCAAGATTGTTGGACATCCCGACGAGTATGCCTCATTGTTCAACACCGCCGAATTATGCCCTGCGTGGGTTACGTCACGAACGTAAGTTATTTAAATGTAGTTAATATAAGAGCGGTATTTTTTATTTATAATGTAGTACTTCTTTGTATATTTATAATCCGATTTTATTATTTAATATCATTTTAAGAGACCATAGAGTCGTCTCATTACACTACACATCTATTTGAAGATGAACTTGAGACGATATTAAAAATAAGATCCTATAAATATTGACAATATATTTATCTCAAAAGTAATTTTAATTCTCCCAGGTGTAGTCGGACGTGGTCAGAGATCGCAAAAGGATCAAGCGAGGCCAATGTTTACGGTAAACAAAGTTCCTGGATTCGCGGCTCAAATGCGTAGGGAAAATGTTAGGCCAATGGCATCGTCGAGTTTCAAACACGATGATGCCAGTTCGAATGAGAAGATTCATGAAAACGGTTTGCGATCTAGAGACAGTTCGCCCAAGATGCCAAGACCGCGGAGCGAGGAAATACCTCTTGAAGACATGCGAATTCGGAAAGCCTCTCTCACTTCTAATGGTATGAACATAGTGCATTTGTGTTCAGAAAGAAGGGACAGCCAAGGTACCACTTGCTCGAATAGCAGTGAGTCTTCGTCTATAATCAGAAAACATTCTGAAGAAACATCTTTCACATCGTCGCAAGAACAGGCGCCGAAACCGCGCAGAAAAGGTCAAGTGGAAACTGTGTGATTGCAATATATTGAGTTTAGTAATTTATCAAAAAAATGAATCAAGTGAAAGAGATCTCCAAAGTTGTCTCAAAATAAAGTTGGTTTTTAAGAATTGTTTTAATAAGCAAAATTGCAATAAAAAATTTAAGATTTGATATAATATTGTTTATTCATACTTTCTACTATAAAGATTTTTATTTATTGACGTATATACATGTATGCGCATATAAACATAAACATAAATATAAAACTGTGAACTTTTTTGAAAATTTCTTCTCAATTGTCACAATATCCACATAAAATATTGAAGAATAAATAGAAGGATTCATTTTTTTCCAACAACAAATTTTTGTACGCACATCAGCCTGATCAATAACATAAAAACAATTTTGAAATTGTTCCAAATGTTTTCGAGAATACTTGACAGATATATATATATATATTACATTTGTTAGAAAATATATATATTTTACCACGATTTTTTCCACAGATCCCAATTGACTATTGAATTTTTTTATCGGTGAAAATTTTTCTGTCTTTAGTATGTTCCAACTTTGGAAGATTTAAAAATTGTATTCAGGAAGTTCAGAATCAGAAAATAAACAAGAGAATATACGTACAATAATTTTAAGTTCATAAAAAAACTATAGATTAATCTAGTTTATAGTTGCCAATTAACAAAGTTTTATCTTACAATTAGTAAACTTTTTATTTATCATATTAAATATGTTCCGATGATAAAATTGTTAGATTGCATTATTTTTTCAAAAAGAATATTCAAGATATTCTCTTACGATTAATTAGAAAAAGTAAAAAGAAAAATATTGATTATCGCAACGCGTTTCAAACTTGTTTTTATATAAGTTATTCACTAAGGCTGTCTCTCTCTTGTAAGTACTTTTCTATTTTAAGCAAGAAAAATAAATTATTTAAGAATAATTTATATATAATTTTAACGATAAGCGAATCATGTAAACAAACTTTTTGTTATTAATTCGTATATATATCTTCCTGTTCCAATTAGTTTTTCTATAATAAAGAAAAATACAGAAAAAATTGTATATGATCTTTGGATAAAATCTATAATTTTTGTACATGTAGTAAAAAACAGTAAACATAATTCTGTTCTTCCATTGCACCAAGTGCGATGAACATAAGAAGCATCACGTCGCTCATCAATGGGTTACGTTGATCTTAAAGATGTTGATAAACTCAACAATTACTTAACGTAAATCATCTTGTTACACGTTTCATTATACTCGGTGTAACAGAAAAACTAGAGATTGTGACAAATATACGTTTGATTGAAATAATCCTAAAATGAGTAAAACTTAAGTAATAAGTACTAAATGTCTAAGGGTTGAATAACATACGTGTAAATACAATTAAATTTATTATATTAAAAATTTTATATTTTATTTATTTGTATTTATAATTTTATTTTAGATGCTGCAAAGGATATTCTGTACATACAATAACACACACATATTTATACACGTCTAACAACTTGTTTTGTGAGGAACAAGATAGCAAAAAACAACTTAATTTCGATGTCATAAAATAATTGCTTAGCATATATAAACTTAGCGTATAGAGCGGAAAGTTATATTCTTCGTATTATATTTCGCTAACGTAGTCTTTTAACATCATTTAATTTAATAAAAACAAAGCATTTGTATCTCGTGCCTTCATCAAGACAACATTTGTAATTTAGAGAAAGAAAAGAGGTAAATACAATTGTTACCTTTTTAAATGCAATGCACATAATCATCTATTTAATCGAAAGAAATCAGTTCAGCAGTCGTAGGCTTTACATCTTCCTCTTTCTTCGAAGCTTCGCTAGCTGTTGTTGGGACTGGAGGAGGAGAAGAAGGTGGAGGAGGAGGAGGAGGAGTAGGCCGATATGGCATTGATTGCGCCGTCGGAATCGCAGTTATTCCTTGCATCGACGGTATGCCAGATGTCTGTGGACCAGGTAAAGCTTGACTTCCCGTTGCGGGAACAACTCCACCGGGTACTTGGATTACACTTGAAGGCTGGGACGAAATAGCAGCGCTAGAAACATGAGCTGACATTTGTGATGCTTGGGTATTAACAGGCAATGTGGACGCTTGCTGCGATCTTATGTGGGGAGGCAGACCAACCGGCACAGAGGTTCCACCACCAGGCACGTGAGTTCCCGGACCTGATGAAAGACCAACGTGACTTTGAGGTATAGGAGGCAGTCCGATCTGAGATGGAGGAGTTTGCTGCGGGATTTGGGAAGAGACGGTTTGTTGAGGCGATATGTGCCTGCTTGCGGCGGCGGCGGCGGCGGCAGCAGCG